AAGGAAAATGCAGCGCTCTAAAAGGCCACTCAGGCGTTCCTAATCACTTTGAAAATTAGGTTCATTTCACAGGACACGGCAGCATAGATCAGGCTTCAACTAACATTGAAGGGAAATGTCAGAATTTTTTTTAAGTGAATGAAATTCTTAATAAGGAAAAGAAATTTTTTAACGTAGTCTTACCCACCACAAATCCTCATAGATTTAAGGATTTTAATAGAAAGCCATGATGTTATGTATTTAAGCCAGGTTTTTTAAAAAAAAAGTCACTATGGGCCAGTATTCAGTGAATACAATTTCATGGTTTTTAATTCTTTTCAAATCACACTAAAATGGTGTGTTCAAGTAAATTAATCTTTCTTTCCTATACATCCCCCCTTTTTTTTTGTTTTGAAGAGGGGAAATTATATTTATTGTTTACTGAATCCTTGTGGGAAAGTGTGTCAAATATGTGTGAACTGCTACTGTATTTACGATTTACAGACCTTATTTTATTGTTATCTGTAGAAGTGATAACATAAACACGTTTATGTAAGTCTTCCATGGATGAGCAACGGCAATGAGGGGATTTTGGTTTTTTCCCCTCTCTAATTTTGATTACGTTGACATATAATTACTATGCTCATAAAAATGAAGTGAAGAAAACAAGTAGTTCTGTTTGCTGCTAATAACATTTTCAAAGGAAAAATTATCAACAGAAGAGCTTTTTACTTTTTACAATATTCAGAAATTAGGGTGGAGAACTTCAAAAAATCCTTGGAGATTAAAGAGGCGCCCTCTGCCAATCACAGGTTTGGTTGATGTCATTTTGGGTCTGACTGGAACCCTTATGGAACTTTTGTGTATATCACAAGGCCTTCAGAAGTAGTCCGTGGTCACAACTATGCTTCGGTTTGATTTTTGAAATAAAAGCAAAATTTCGACCTATGATTTTATCCACATCCCTTTCTAGTGAGAATCCTGAATTTTATGAGGAAACTAGTTCAAGGGAAAAGGGCAGTTCAGATCCACTACTCTTTCTCTCATGCTCCCTTTGCTTGTGCTCATGAGACCTGGTGTTCACTGACACCCGCTGTGTGGCAAACATTGGGAATACACAAATAGGCACCAACTTAGGGGAACAAACACGTTAAGAGAGAGACGCAGAGGGTGCTTGCTGGGCAAGCATTTCCAGATAGAAGAGAACTCCAAAAATATACAACCATGGCCCTTCTTTTAAACACATTACTGGAAAAGATGTTCCAGCTAACGAATAATCGTATAAAAATTAACTTTAAAATTGGAAGCTATTGTAGGAAGAATCAGGGATCACCCCTTACTCAGTTTGAATGAACGTAAGTTCATGAATTAAGTAAATTGTGCAACCTGGGCTGAAACTGTAATAACTTTCCTCAGCTACTGCTCTTCTGTGTTGTCTTCTTTTGCCTTCATGCATGAAAGTCAACTTGACTGGGCATACAGTTCTTGTCACACTTTCTGGGGAAAGCAGTTGATGCTTTCTGGCATTAGAGCAGAACTGAGGCCAGCCTAATTTTTGTTCCTTTGTAGATTTTATCTTCCTGTTTAGATGGTTCTATATCCCTGTAACTTTTGTGTCAGCTGACTTTTGTCTGAAACAAAACTGAATCCAATGTATCTCCCTAAGCATTCTTAATTTTTCTTTTTTCAAAAATACTTTTGTCTTAACATTCCTCTCATCTTTTTCCTTCATGCTAGGAAAACTCAAATTTAATCTCCACACAACTGGCTTTATTTTTAGTGTCATTCTGCTGTTTGCTATTTCAAACATAAATTTTGTCATCTGATATCTAATTTTCTTGAACTTACTTTACCCACCTTCCTTTTCCTCTGTTTATTTTTGTCTTTTCATAGAAACCGTGTTTTCTTACAACCTTTTAAGGATGTTAAAAGTTCCCTACATTCTATTCTGATTTCCAAAGTAGATTCTACCCAGCGATTGATGCTTTTTGGTTTTGGTCCCTCACACTGGGTCAGTGAGACAGTGACCAGTATTTGCCAGCAGACCTGGAGAATGGGTTGCCCTTGGTTCTGTGCTCCCTTTTTCTGGGTGCTGGTCACAGCCCCTTCTAGGCAGCCCCTGGGGACAGACCTATCTACTCATGTTCCCAGGGCATGGCTATCTTTTAAATGCAGCTGGCCATCTCCCTTAACCTGCGCTACAAATGTCCCACTACTAGGGTTCTTCTCTCTCAGGAACAAACAAATATGCAATCCATTTTTATAGCCCCAATCAATACTTACTAATCCCTTGCTCAGTGTGTACAGTATCAACAGTGCACACACCTAAAAATGTTATTTAAATGTTCTGAGATAACTTCAGTTTATTTTTTCTCAAAATATATTTCAAAAGTGGTGCTATTTTTTAAAAATTTTTCTCAAGTAGAAAAATTTGTGGGTAGATAGGTCAAAAGGTTTCATAGTGTTCAACAGGCCAAAAAAGAAAAAGGTGAAAAGCAAAAATAGAATTTAACAACCCCTCCATAAAAATGTGCTTTTTTTCTTCGAAAGCAGGTATGTATGGTCAACAGTCAAGACTAGCAAACCTCTAGACTTAATGGGAGTCTGGCTCTGCCAGTTCTCCAGCTGAAAGTGTGGCTCACCTGCTAACCTGTTGGCAGTTCTGTTTCCTTACCTGTAAAATAGAAAACATATATGCGCTTCCACACTGTAGTGAGGATCAAGTGAGCTCTTATTAGGAAAAGATGTTTTAAAATATCTAGAATCCCGAAACTAAATCCTGAGATGCAGTATTAAACACTTCCCTATTGAAAGTTTTTATTTTAACCTGTTAGTGGAAATCTAAAAATGGTTACAGCTTGCAGGCTTCTCTCAGTTCCCACCCCACCTCATTTCAGCACCACACAACAGCTGCTGCTCTGAGATAAAGGAGTGCACATCTTTTTTTTTTTTTAAGATTTTATTTATTTATTTTTAGAGAGAGGAGGAGGGCGGGAGAGAGGGGAAGAAGGAGCGATCGGATCTGTTGCCTCTTGCAAACCCCCAGCCTGGCCCACAACCCAGGCATGGGCCCATACTGGCAATGGAACTGGTGACCTTTCGGTTTGCAGGCTGGCGCTCATCCACTGAGCCACACCAGCCAGGGCTGCACGTATTTCTTACAGCCATGAAAACTCTTCTAACACCAATTTAAGGGAACTCTACCAGTTTCAAATAACAGGTATTACTGAACCACTGACAAGATTTTGTGACTTAGCACTTAATATTCCAAACACCTAACCAAGTTAAAAAACTGAGTAGTGTGTATTAAAGGAAAGAAGACTGTTAAACATACACAGGATCCTAAATCAGAAAACAACTAAAATTTTTAAGTAGTACCTGATGCTTTATAAGAGTCTTGAGCTTAACGTATCTGTTGTAAAAGAGCCGCACCAACATTCCTGTCCTATACAGCTGAGTTGTGAGGCTTCTATGACATAGTGCTCAGTGGTTCTTTTGAAAACTAAAGTACACAACTGTGATATTTCAGTAATTGATAAAAATGATAGCAGGTCTTTTTTACATTTTTATTAACTTCTTTAGGGCAGTTTGTATTCACAGCGAAATTGAGCAAAAAATAGAGAATTTCCATATGCCCCCACTGTCCACATCCTGCACTGGGGTGGGACATTTGTTACAATCCATGAACCCACTGGGACACACCATTATCACCCAGAGTCCATACATAGGTTACATTAGAATTCATTTGTGGTGTGGTACCTTCTGAGTTGGGACAAATACACAATGGCATGTATGCACCACTGTAATGTTATACTATAGTTTCAAGATATGTGGCATCTTTAAATATCCAATAATCAGCAACGATTATTGTGCACTGACGTACCATGCATTCTTCTAAGGGCTTTTCATTTAATCTTCACAATATCTGTAGGAGGAAGGACATGAGACGTGAAATACTTTGTCCCTAAATCACACAACTGTCTGCCAATCCAGGTTTTTTCTGCGTGCTTTGGAGCTTTAGGGAAAAAAAACTTACATCCTCTTATTGCCAATGCAATTGCATTTCAGTAGCAGGGAGAGGGAACTACGTAATGTAATGTTGAACTATACAGCCCTGTAGGCTCTAGGGCATTAAGGATAAACTGATCTCCAAAACACACTGCACTGATCAGTTTTTTACACATCAAAACAACAAGAATCTATCCTACCAGCACCACGCCACAGAACCTTTTTCCCTTTACCTCTAGCATTTCCACACAAAAAATGCCCACTATCCTGATACTCGCCCATTTGCTAACCCTCCGGTTGCACGTCCACCCAACCAGGATTTCTCATTCCTTACGAGGCCCTCCGTTTACCAGGCTCCCTGTGTGTGTTCAGATATAGAGACTGGTGCTTAGGAATATTTGCTAAATTACAAAAAGCAGGTCCCCTGAGCAGCCACGAGGAGGTCTGACAATAGGTGTACAATCAAGCTTATTGCTTGGGTCTCACTATAAAGTATCCACAGTGCTGCCCAGTCTCATCTTAGGGTAGTGTAGGGTTCTGACATCAATACCTAAAACGAAGAATTGTAGTACCATCCTGCAACATCCCAGGCAGTCCAGCATGCTTGTTGGGGGGGCTCTGTATGTACTGTACGACTCAGCGGTTATTCTACGCTCTTAAAAACTGCCCAGCTGGACGAAAAAAGAAGACTCAACTATCTGCAGCTGTTCGGGGCTCGGAACCTTTCTGCCTTTGAGAGCACCAGCTCCCGTGCGGGGCTGACTTGCTCAAGCGTTAAGTGTTGGCGGCGCGCCTTGCCCAAGGGGCAGGGCTCGGAGCGACGCCCCTCGGAGTCCACAAGTCAGAGGGCATTTGCCACGCCCCACCCCGCTCCCGACGTCGCGCCGAGAGCACCCTTGCAGTGACGACCTTCGTCCCAGATCCCAGCGCAGCAGTCACTTGCCACGGCCCGTGCCCCGCCCTCCGTCCGTCACTCATGTGGCCCGCCCAATGGTGGCGACGGGGGTGGGCCCGTGCAGGGCGGGGCCTGAGGTTTCCTGCGCCGGAGCTTGTGGCGTCAATGCGCTGCTGTGTCCATGGAGAGAGGCTGAGGCGTCGGAGCTCCGGCCCGAGGCACCAGGGCGCCGGACCGTAAGGATGTCGGCTTCGTTAGTCCGGGCCACTGTCCGGGCTGTGAGCAAGAGGAAGCTGCAGCCCACCCGGGCAGCCCTCACCCTGGTGAGTGTACGCTGCGCGCGGCCTGGCCCTTGACATTGGTTCACCTCCGTGCCGTGGGGGAGGTCACGGCGGCAGGACGCGGCACAGCGGAGCCGCGGGGCCCGGGCCCAGTCCCCAGCTCTACGCTCCCCGCTCCCCGCCGCAACCCCCGTCCCTGCTAGGAAAATAAATCGGGGAGGGGTTGCCTCCCGCTCTCCGGCGCCGCGGGGACTACGTTTCCCATCTTGCTGTGCGCGCCGCGTGCGGGGGAGGGGACGGTGTGCGAGCGCTCCGCACCGGTCTCCCTGGATCTCAGGATCTTCTTTGAGGGGCGTTGGGGCTGCAGTACTTGAGGTCGCTGGTTTAGAGGCCCGTCGTCCCAGGCGCGGGGCGTAGTTGGGTGAATAAACCAGATTTACCCTTGAGGTTCTTGTGCAGGACGGAAGCTTGCAAACGAACCACACTGTAAGTTCAGTGATTGGCAGTGAGAGAGCGTCCCCAACAAAGCCCACCCCCTTGTTGGGGTGAAGGCTGCTGGGCATCAGGGGTTACTTCCTGGTGTTGGGGTTAGCAGAGGCTTTTTGAGACACCTCTGTGCCTCGGTTTTCCCAGGCCTCGGTCAGCTCTCACAAAGAACAAAGGATAAAGTTGTCTACCCTGAGTTTGTTTTTACAGCGTTTTCTGGGTGAGAGGTCTAATACACTAAGAGGACACCAGAGAACAAACGGAGATACGTAAAGAATTTAGCGACGCACTGTGCAGTGCGTTTTTTATTTTTAACCGAGGGAAAATTCATGTGAATTTTACTATTTTAAAGTGTTCAATTAAGTGGTATTTAGTACATTCACAATATTGTGCAACCATCACTTATGTTCCAAAACATTTCATCCCAGAAGAAGACTGTGTATTTATTAAGCACACTTGCTTTTACAGTTTGTAAAGGTTCATTTCGTTGGAGAGCATATGATCAGGTCAGTGCTCTTCAAACACACACCCTGCCTTGATTAAGGAGGCTCTGTGCAAGCATTTACCACCTAGAGACTAGGAAAATGGATTACTGTATTTAAATGGAATCATTGATTTCAGTCAATGTAGTGTCATAAACTGGAAAATTAGTTGTAGCAAAACAGGAAAAAGTCATGATCAGGTCGGAGAATTAATTTTTACAATAGATTAATGTTTTAGGCCCATGAGAAGGTTACCCTGATTATATATAGGATGTGATATTTTATATTACTTTCTTGTGTGCCACCAAGCAGGTTTTTATGTTTGAAAGACACACCATCGATTATTGGGATTTTCTAAGATCCTAAAATCACAAGAACGAGAGGGCATGACTCATACTTTATGTCTCCTTTTATCTCAGTAAAAATTATTCAGAATTGAAAAAGAATTCTACCATTAGCAATGGTAGAGCCAGGAAATGCAGAGATACTTTTTGGCTTTTTTTTTTTTTCCCTCCACCATTTGACATATGTGTTCCTTTAAAATTTCTGAGTCATTCCCTTCCTCTCTGTACCACAGACATTTAAGGCCTACTGTGTCTCTGGATAAGAAATACTTGTTACACAGTTCCCACTCCCCAGAAACACAATCATGGGCCAGGCCTTTGTCACCTCTAGGAATTAGTAGGAATAGTAACACCACCCACCTTCTCAAGCCTGGGCTGCCTCTCCTTACTTAAATTAACTCCTTGTGTTACCACTTACCAGACCAATGCTGTTACCAGCACTGCTTTATTATTATCAGTTCTCAGTTCATACTCCACGTTGCCTTTGATGAACTGTTCTGGTTAACTTGCAGGAGTCAGAAGTCCATTATCTAAACTCATCCTACTTAACCGTCTGGCTGACTTTAGGACTTCTTTTTTTCCAAGATCTTCTTGGAAGCTGGGGACAGAAAAAAAGCACATCACTGCTGCTTTCCGCCAATAGTCTTGCAGGCTTGCAAGTCATTTTAATCCTAGCATATGTTTCCTGCTTAAGACCCTGTGGCATGCGTGTGTTGCCGCTTGTACTTAGTTTCAAGCTTTTGTGCTTGAAAACTCCAACATGTTCTGTGAAGTATAAAAGGAGTGAAGTTATCAAAGGGTAAAGAGTGGAAACAGATGAGAGCCAATGAAACTGGGGACAGTTCAGTGAAATGGGTAAGAAGAGCTCAGTATTACCTAGATATACAAGTTTTGACATCAGGAATTTCACCTGTGTGCAGTCTTTGAGAAGTGCTGGACCTGTACAGTCTGCCACAGGTCAGTGAGAGGCTAGGAAAAGGAATTAATGAAATAAAAAACATGGTCCCATGTTATCATCACCAGAGTACCTGCACTAAGTGATGCAGGTGAATCCAGGAAAAGATTGGTGGTTTGCCAAAGAGAAAGACTGAAAAGACCAGTGCCAGGCTGCCATGACTTTTTTATGCAAATCAGATTGTTCCTTGATTGAAAGCTTTAACACTGCAACCCACCACACAGAGCAAGTACCCTTGAACGCCTGCAGAGAACATTCCCCTTCTTCTTACTTTCCTACATACCCAGGAACTGACCAATGGTATTGTAGTAGCCAGCTAAAATATGATTAAAGAATCTGAAGAGCCCTGGCTGGTGTGACTCAGTGGATTGAGTGCCGTCCAGCAAACCAAAGGGTCACCAGTTCAATTCCCAGTCAGTGCACATGCCTGGGTTGTGGGCCAGGGCCCCAGTAGGGAGCACTTGAGAGGCAACCACACACTGATGTTTCTCTCCCTTTTTCTCTCTCTTCCCCTCTCTCTAAAAATAAATAAAATCTTTAAAAAAAAAAAAAAAACCAACAAAAAAACCCTGAAAAGTTAACACTACCCTGCAGGTAGAGGCCTTTATTTCCAAGTTTGTATAAATCAGAATTAGTGTAACCCTAATTTAGGATTAGGGATACCCACAGCTGTGCATAAAGCTCAACTAGAGCCAGGAGAGAATGATTATACGAAGCCAGCATCATTCTTGATGCCCAGGAGAGAAGTTCATTATGTGCTTTGGGTGCCCTAGGGCTTGACTTTCTTCTGGTGGCACCTGGTTGGAAAGGGCTGGGAAACAATAGATGTTAAATAGAGTGGAGCTCCATAAGGGGCTGTTAAATTCATTGAAGGACTTTGGAAAAGCATGGAAGCAGTGAGATTTGTATATGTAGAGAATTTAAGGGGTGTTGCACAGGAAACAAACAGAAGTAACCTGAATGTCTAACAATGAGAGATTGGTTAAGTAAATTAGAATAGATCGTGTTGGTGAAATATTGTATTCATTGTAAATGATGACTTAAAAAAAAAAGTTTGGGAGCATCTCTTTATTCTTTGATTTCCTAGCTCTGTACAAATTATATAATCTTTAGTACTGAAATCACAGAATTATGAGAATAAAAAGGTGATGCATATAAACCATTATGCACCTAGAAGGTACTCAATAAATGGTGACTATGTGTTTATTACTATGTATCAAATGAGAAACACATTTTGTTTTGTTTTTTGACTTTGGTGGGGGTAGGAAAAGAGAGAGAAACATTGATTTGTTGTTCCACTTATTTATGCATTCAAAGGTTGATTGCTGAGTGTGCCCTGACCAGGGGTCAAACCTGCAACCTTGGCATATGAGAGCAATGCTATAACCAACTAAGCTACCCAGCTAGGGGTCAAATAAGAAACACATTAAACTTTTAAAATGTAGGTACAAAATCATGTAGGTGTACTCTGATTTCACACACACAGGAATAGGAAAAAACAAAGAGAAAACAGCACCCTAATGCCAGCCATAGCTGTTAAAGAATTAGTTAAACAAAGTACACTGTAATTTGTTCATTGGCTGCTCTTTATCTACCATCTTTTAAACCTTAAAATGCTAGATTTGTAATGAAATTAAAATAGGTTGTAGTTGTTGGTATGTGTTTAGTATATGTAATCATGGAGTTAACTTTGGGTTTTAATTTTATCTTCTTAAGCAGCGAGAAGTGAAAATTGCCTGGGTAATTACTTAAGGAAACAGCATTGAAGATGAAAAGTTTTCCGATACAAGGAGTAGAAACCCTATGGCATTGAATAAAAGTATGTTGCCATGAAGTAGGTGAAAAACGCATCATCTACAGTGCCTTTTCCAATAATTTTAAAATCAAAACCAAACTGGGAATCTTTTATTTTTTTTAATTAATTGATTTGAGAGACAGAGACATAGATTTGCTGCTCCACCCATTCAGCATTCATTGGTTGACCCCTGCGTGTGCCTCGATGGGGGATCCAACTCACGACCCCCAGTGCATGAGACAACGCTCCAACCAACTGAGCCACCTCGCCAGGGCTGGAAATCTCTTTATAAAAGGCTGAACTATCCCACTTAAAGATTTTTCTTTCCTTTGAAATTATACACGTATTAGTAGATTAAAAACTGTCATTATATATCATTGAGTTTTAAGAATCTCAAGTTTTAATTCACTAGCCAAATCTCAGGTAACTTAGAGTCATTAATTATATATAAATTTCTTGGACCAGTATGGGTTTCTTCGTTGTTTGGGGAAATGCAGTGAAATGGAAAGGCTGGTAAGCTTGCAGCATATTATTTGGTTGAAGTTTTCATACTATTTCCCAGGTTGATTTTAAGTGCAAGTTGCAGGAGCCTGCAAATGATTTAGAGCAAAGTAAGCACCTTAGCTTCTGCCTGGTTCAGAGACACAAAAACTACCTTTTATAGCCAAAAGTTTTCTTTTAGCCCTAAATGTTCTCTGGGTAGTCAGTCTGACTTGTTCTGAAAATCAGATCCAACGCTTGGAAAGCTGTAAAAATCATGTCTTTCCCCTTAAATGAGTACTTAACTGAGTTATCCATCATTAGTAACACTCCTCCCGTTGGAGTATATCTGGTATTTGTCTGACACTGGAAAATTAAGACATGCCTGGGTACCTATGTTTTCTACTAAGAGCTGAAAAAAGAAGAAAATATACTATTTTGTAAAACTAAATTAGATCACTTAGAAAATCACTTGGAGATAAAAACCCTTGGGGCTTGTTGACAGATTAGTGAGCAGGCCCCTGTCTTGTTTACATCATGCAGGGGTGCACCCTCTACACCTTTGACCCCCAGTTTTAAACCAAGGCTATGCTAAGCCTTGAGTTGTACTTCCAAGGAATATTTTCCCATGGCTGTACCTCTTTTATGTAATTTAATCAGGTATCTTTTGCTATTTGACAATTAGATTAATTTCTTCAGGACTTAAGTGGGAGATATGACCACGAAAACTATGGAAGCTAGTTTTTCCTGGCAGTCATACAGAATGTTAAATGAGCACTTAAAAATTTTATTAATATTTCTGTAACTATTTGAGGTTGGTATGCTGTGGTTTCCAAAAAATTAAAAGCCATATTTGTTCTCTTCAGCATTTCCTTCCTTCTCCCCCTGCATACTATTTCTTGTCTAGTTGGACTGCTTGCCTCCTGTTATGATAAAATCATAAGGAAATGCCTTTATGAACACCTACTGGTAGTGACTTATTTAATTTTTTTACCGTGACACACAATAAGACATACATATACAAACTCACCATATATTAATAACTGAAATCAGTTTCACATTCCTCTTCATCAAGTGCAATGCATTGTTTTCCATTTTGTGTTTATTTACTGTTTTTTAAAAATGCTAGTCTCAACTTTCTAATTTCGGTCCAGACTTTGCTTCAGCCTCCTGATCTGGCTGAGCCCTCGCCAGACAAAGCAGAAGAGCACACTCTGGGGCCATCCCTTGGCTCCCCGCCCTTGGCCCAGGCCTGAGTTGTGGCTGCAGTTACTACCCAGTCACAGGTCATGATGTCCACTCTTTGGGATTTCACAAGCCAGGAAAATGCCAATACAAAAAACTGGCGGGGCCAGCACAGCACTGCCAGCTAGAGGAACCAATCAAGTGGAAGGACATGATTTCTTCATTGTAACAACAGCTGGCTTGTCTTTGGCACTGTGTCCTAAATGCTCTTCATGAGTCCTGCAGAAGAAGGACTGTTATACCCTAAGTCGAGTAATGGGCTGGGACACAGCTAGGATGTGGACCATGAATGCCCCGGGACAGGCTTCATCTGGGACAGCCTCCATCTCGAGAGAGGTGTTGGTGAAGCTCACCTCTACCCATAGGGTACATTGTGATGATATTAACCTGAGGACAGCTGGGCTAGGTTAAAAGCATTTCTCCCCTGAAGACGCCTCTCTGTTCTTGTTTCTGTCACCGACTAGCTTAAATACCCTGAAATACCGATTTAAACCAACTTTAGAATCTAAACATTGGGTGGGACTGTGATGAGAGGCACACTCTGGGTTATTTGTTGCTGGTAGCACTCTCACCTAGGAATGCAGCTCGATGGAGTTGAAATACATTTGGGTAGGCCAAGGAGCAGTGGAGCTAATGATCACCGGAAAAATGCGGGAAGGTTGGCTTTTTCCGTGAGGTACTTGATTCATTCATTGGCTTATTGAGCACCTTCTGTATGCCAGACAATTATTTATTGCTGGGCATAGAGTAGGTGCACAAAATAGATGCTGCCCGGAAAGATTACCTTTGTGATGTAAGTAGAGAGTACCATAGAGATTATGACAGAGTGGACATTACCTGGGGGGAGAAAGGTGAAAAAGCTTTTCCTAGAAATTTTTAAAATGGAATGATTTTAATTAAGTAGAGTTCATATAATTGTGTATAAAATCCGCAAGATACATTGGCAAGAATAAAACACATTAAATCACATGAATTTGCTAAAGGTAGACTTGCATAGTCTTACAAGACTTTGAAGAATGCAAATTTTGTAGCTAAAAACTTAACGTTTTCTTTTTCAGACACCTTCAGCAGTAAACAAGATCAAACAACTTCTTAAAGATAAACCTGAGCATGTAAGTAAAACCAATCAAACAGATATTGTACTTAGTAAGGAAAGTTATATTTTCACAATGAATTTAGCTTGCGGTAAACAGTATGCTTTCATTATTTAGGGGGTTTCCTTTTCAAAGTAAAGTATGTTCATGACTTCTTTTTAATTTTTATGAGTTTATTTGAGCCAAACTGATGACCTGCAGCAGGGCGCACGATCTCAAATGTTCCCCGAAGTCAAGTAATACAATAAGACACTCGATGAAAAGGAAGCCACTCTCTTACCACAGCTGTTTCATCGTCAGTCTCCCTCTCAAGAGGCAGCTTTTTAGTGTCCTTTTAGAGACGACCTTTACGTTTTATACACCAGGATTTCTCGGCCTCAGTGCTCTTTATGTTTTGGGCTGCGCGATTCTTTGTTGGGGGTGGATTGCAGGGTGTTTAATGTCATCTCTGGTTTCTGCCAGTGACTCCAGTTCACCCCTCAGTTGTGACTACCAAAAGTATTTCCTTGAGGGGAACTACTGGCCTCAACTCGGCTTGTGTGTGTGTCCGTTTTCCTGTTTGGATAAGAACCTGCCATACATCCTGTGGTTACACTTGGCTCTTTGCCTCTAATAAAGTAGCTTGAAGACCTTTTCATGTCATTAAAGATCCACTCATTCTTTTTCATGGCTGCATATAATAGTATATTCCATTGAAAAAGTTTGATTTAATATGTCCCCCATATTAGAGGCTTGTTGTGTTGTTTGTGTTCAGTGCCGTTATAAACATCAATCACCAGATGTTTAGTGTCTGCAGTGGGCCAGGCCTGTCAGCGTAGCTGAGTGCGTCTGCATCATAGCTGAAAGCCTCTGCACAGGCTCTGTTCCTAGATGTGGAATTGATGAGCGGGGCCAGGCGGGGGGCGGGGGGGGGTACCACATTAATCTTAACGAGTTGCTAATTGCCTAAGGAATACTGTAAATTATTTTCAAGACTACTAACATTTAGTGCTTAGACTACAGAGTGGTTTCTAGGTTCCATGTATGATCTCCCATTACAATGGGAGTTCTAGCACCTTCCTCCTCGAGATTATTAAATGCTTAAGTATGTCAGCATTCCAGCTCCATTTGGGTAGACTGATTGACCAAATAAAACAAAAGTTGAGCTTTGTAGGTGTGAGGGATGTTTGTTTATGTTGACATGAAAAGGACTGAGCACGCACTTTATCAGGCGGCACTGTGACACAAGCAGTCCCTTTTCCAAATTGCAGTTACCCAAAGCTGTGCTCTCACACACTCTTCGTGTCTAGATCCGTGCTGATAGCTCGACTTCCTGCTTACGTGAACCTCCCTGCTTACAAAGATAAAAGCTAAACTTAAATACTCAAGATTTACACTCGAGAATTTCATCTGGGCAATTTATCATGTATTTGTCATGCTGAACATGTTAAACTGCCTCTTAGGCTTTCTAAGCCGTCACTCTGAAAGTAAATAAAACTGTAGCTCTGTCTCCTTGCAGTTGTTTAAGAACAGAAGAGACTACTCCCTGGATATGTCATCTCATCAAAACCCCTAGGCTGCCTAACATTCTAACTCACACTCTTCGCCAGTGTCTTCCCACTTCATGATTACTTTCCCAAAGGAAGTACACATCTACTGCTTTTCAGAGAATCAGGATCTGCTGGGTGAAATACTATTTTTTATGATGATATTTTTGGTGTATACTTAAAAAGCAGATAGGATCCAAGAATAGAAATTTAGTAGACATTGTTAGAAAAGTACATTAAGGTAGACAATTGTTATTTTAAAAGTGATTTTTGGCTACTTTTTTTTTTTAATTCTTATCAGAGGATATATATGGTCATTGATATTTTGGGGAGGGGGTGCGGGGATGACACATTGATCAGTGGTCTTCTTCTTGCTTCCCAGCCGGGGATGGAACCTGCCACATTTTGGTGCGTGGGATGATGCTCCAACTAACTGAGGCACTTGGCCAGGACAGTTTGTTCCCTTGTTAAATTTCTTACATCTGTGTTGCCATCAGTCTTGTGCTTTCTGGTATTTGAGAATGTTTACACAGGTCAGCCCTAGAATTAAGGCCCTGTGGAGAGGTAGCATGATTGCCAGGCCTGCGAACCTTGACAAACCTAACCTAAGGGAAACTTCCTGAGAACATCTTGCATGAAGAGGTGGAGCAAAAATGCTTTTGAACAAGTTCATTTTATTAGGTTGTCATCTCTGCCATCAGATACTTTTCTTTTTCTTTTAAAGAAACCGATCATTTAACCCTGGCTGGTATGGCTCAGTAGATGGAGTGCTGGCCTGCAAACCAAAAGGGTCATCACCAGTTTGATTCCCATTTAGGGCACTTGGTCCTCTGTTGTGGGTATGTGGGAGGCAACTAATCAATGTGTTTCTCACACGTTGATGTTTCTCTCCCTCTCCTCCCTCCCTTCCCCGTTTTTTAAACAGGGATCATTTAATTTTTTTGAATCAAAACTCTTTCCATAAAGGTGTTATTCCCAACCTAAATGGTTAGTAGTTGGTTAAGTAATAACCATGCATTGGTATAGTGGAATATTGTATAGGCATTACTTGCAATTACATGGAAAGATGATGTCTTAAGTGAAAAAAACAAAGCAAAAGAAAAATTTTCTACTGTAATAAAAACTATGCTTAGCCTTTTCACAAAGATGGCACCGAAAACTAAGAAGGAAGCCCCTGCCCCTCCCAAAACCAAAGCCAAGGCAAAGGCTTTGAAAGCAAAGAAAGCAGTGCTAAAAGGCGTCCACAGCCACAAAAAAAAAAAAAAAATGAAGATCCGCACGTCTCCCACCTTCGGGCAGCCTAAGACACTTCGGCTCTGAAGGCAGCCTAAATGTCCTCGGAACAGCACTCCCAGGAGAAACAGGCTTGACCACTATGCCGTCATCAAGTTCCCCCTGACTACGGAGTCAGCCATGAAGAAGATCGAAGACAATAATACACTTGTGTTCATTGTGGATGTCAAGGCCAACAAGCACCAGATCAAACAGGCTGTGAAGAAGCTGTATGACATTGATGTGGCCAAGGTCAACAACCCTGATCAGGCCTGATGGGGAGAAGGCAGCGTACGTTCAGCTGGCTCCAGACTATGATGCTTTGGATGTTGCCAACAAAATTGGGATCATCTAAACTGAGTCCAGCTGGCTAATTCTAAATATAAAAATTTTATACTAAATAAAAATAAAAACTATGCGTAGATACATATATGACAGAGCCTGGGAGAAAATAGGAAAAAACATATAAGCTGTGTTTTTAGGGTTATTATAGTTTGGTTCTTTTTTTCTGTGTATTGTTCTCTTTGTACATAATTGGTTTTTATTCTTTTTGGGTTGCTACTAGTGTCATAATGATGTTTGTACAACAGGTACATTTTTAAAATGCTTGTTGCCTGCCCTGGCCAGGGTGACTCGGCTGGAGCATCCTTCCATTCACCAAAATGTTGTGAATTCAGTTCCTGATCAGGGCACATACCTAGGTTGTGGGTTCGATCCCTGGTCCAGGCACGGGCACCTGTGAACCCGAGTCCAGACACACACGATTCCTGGTCCAGGCACGTATGGGAGGCAACCAGTCGATTCTTCTCTCTCACATCGATGTTTCTCTCTCTCCCTTTCTTTCTCTAAAAGCAATGAAAAAAGATGTCCTAAGGTGAGGATACAAAAATGAAATACTTGGTTCCCATTCCACTTCTGTGTCCTAAAGGGCCATTTTATAGCCAGGAATCTAATATATATCTCTGAACTTCTGAAGAAATGAGTAATATCATATAGTCAGGACTTTAATTAATATTATTAATAACTTAATAATTTTTACTATTTTAAAACTAATTTTATATTTACAATTATTTTTCAGGTAGGTGTGAAAGTTGGTGTCCGAACCAGGGGTTGTAATGGCCTTTCTTACACTCTAGAATATACAAAGACAAAAGGAGATTCTGATGAAGAAGTTGTTCAAGATGGTAAGTTTTATACAAACTTTTTCTGGGCACTTTGTTTTGCCTAAAATTTTTAAAGTAATGATAACAGTAGGAAAGGCATATATAGTGCTCACTATGAGGTGGGTATGGTTTGACTGAGTTTCATGTATTAACTGATTTATACACAGCAACTGAATGATGATGGTCCCATATTGTCTCTGCTTTGCAGATAAGAGAAATTGAGACATGGAGAGATTAAATAATTTGTATAAGGACACACAGCTAATAAGTGGCCTTGTGAACATTTGAACCCAATCAGACTTACTCCAGAGGCCATGCTCTGGTAGATTATTGGATAAAGTTGTTTGTTTCAGTCATGAAAGAGTATTGTGTGTGTCGAAAGATTTTGAGATGATAAACCTTAAAAATGAACCAATTACTTTTGTTGGAAGTAGCAGTTTTACATATATGTCAAATAAGTAACATCATCTCATGCTCTTAAGGACTCTCTATTTCCAATTTTAATTCCCAAATTAGGTGAATTTTCAGTCCTGGCTGGTGTGGCTCAGTGGACCGAGCACTGGCCTATGAACAAAAAGGTTGTGGGTTCGATTCCCAGTCAGGGCACATGCCTGGGTTGCTGGCCAGGTCCCCAGTAGGGCGGGTCTGAGAGGTAACTGATTAATGTTTCCCTCCCTCCCTTCCCCTTTCTCTCTAAAAAAATAAATAAAATCTTTAAAAAAGTCCTTTAAAAACTTTTTTTTTTTTAGTTCTTTAATAATATTTACTCCCCCATTTCCTGCCCCTGTGCAATAATCCAATTTAACCTATTCAGAACTAAATAAATTAACGCTACAACTTTGAGGGAACTTCATCGTACGTAGGTTTTGCAGTGGTGGCTTTGTGCATCGGGAGGGCGCTGTTGGCCAGCTTCCTAGGTTCCCCGTGTGAGGCCATTTTACTAAATTGAAGTTACTAACCAAGAAAGATTTTTGTTTTAATATTTTAGTTTTTAAATCAATACATAAATTTAAATCTTAAATTTTTCATCTTAAAAAAGAGATCCAATAAATATGGATAGTTCATATGTAAATAATGACTCAATTTCCTGAGGAAGAAGCTTTCTTAAACCAATTATATTTCTAAAGATGCCGACTTCTGCCCACATAATCACTATGAGATTATGTTTTTACCAATTTTCCAGCCCTGATGCAGAAGAACGGCGCTGCTGTGTCGTCTTTGTCCAGCCCATGCTCCCACAGTCCTTCGTGTGTCTCTAGCTGTGGCAGTTGTGTCGTGTGTACAGACGTCATTGCAGGGTTTTCCTAAATATTTCTGACTCCATCTTTACAAAACTCTCACTGAGAATATACATGCTTTCTCTATGTTGCCAGTTGGGAAAATGGGTGAAATACAGTGAAAAGCAAATTCTAGTTTTACTAGAATTGTCATGGAATTGACTTGTGTACAACTTTCTAACCTAATATTGTTTTTTAACATAGATTATTGCGTAGAAAGAGGGGACAGGAAACTGAGCACTGAATCCCTTAAAGGATGTAATGTGACGGATTCAAAAGCTTCCTGTTTGATTTTTGTTAGTGGTTACTGTTTCAGGTTTACTTGTGTTTTGAATCAGCAGGACCTGTTGGCATGCAGGCTTTATATACATGTTTTCTTCTCCCCAAGGAGTCAGAGTGTTCATCGAAAAGAAGGCTCAGCTAACACTTTTAGGAACAGAAATGGACTATGTTGAGGATAAATTATCCAGTGAGTTTGTGTTCAATAACCCAAACATCAAAGGAACATGCGGCTGTGGAGAAAGCTTTAACATTTGATTCCTCAGGACTACTCTGGCTGTGAGCTCCAGGAAAGCCTGTGGAGGAAGCCCTGGGCTTACTAAAGAAATCACGTGACTGTCACATGCTTAAGATTTATAATGCATGGCTGCCTTATGAGGAAAATAAAGTGATGCATTTAGAAAGTGAAGCCAGTGTGTTCAATTTCAGAAGTGATATTTGTATTCCTTTTAGGGGACAGAATGTGAGAAGCTGTCATTCTTTTTGGCTCATTTTTCTAATCTGTAAAAAAAAAAAACAAACAACCCTTACCCTGCACTTACTCTCATGCATCCTTTCTGTTAGAACCAGTTTTCTGAAAGGGGCCTGCCTGGGAGGATTTCAGTAAATTTAATAGGCGTGCACTCTTCAGATCTCTACTGAGCAGCTTGAACGTGCATCTCCAGGCCAGAAAGACGGCTCTTAAAATTCAGAGGCAGAAAGTCCTGACTGCCGGATTGACATGGTGCTGCATCGTTTTTCTACACAAGTTTGGCATGGCCTTTCTACATTTCTATCCAAAGCTTCATTATGAAATGCCTCATTTGCTCCCCCTTTAGCAGCATCAGCCTTTTGATGAAAGTGTCAGAGATTTCCTTGAATGGTTTTGAGTGACGGCCTAAGAAATACTTCGCCCACCATCTTTCATCTATCTCCTTTGCTACCCTAAATGTCTGCCCAAGGTGGGATCTCAAGCTTAGATCCGTTTATTTGAAAGGTGTCTTACAAGCCATGTAGCCCAACCCCCCAATTCTGTGCCTAAGAAAGCAGAACCCTGGGGAAGGAGAAGGGCTGTGTCCGCCACACACTGCGGAGCAGCAGGTGCCGCGCCAGCAGGGCTCAGGCTGGCAGTGCAGGTAAATGGGCCGTCTGGCTTCTCTGTCTGACTGACATCTTGATGAGATTCCTGTGTAATTTGATGGAGATCTAACTTTTTATTTTGAGTGGGAAAAATCATATTAAAGCCCCTTTATGTGAATTGCCATTTTGTTTGTTTTGAAGAACAAAGCAGTGGTTCATAGTAGCAGGGAAGATATAGCAACCCAGGAATACTCTTTTGGAATGTAGTAACAATTGTGAAGTGGAACATAGAGGTCTTTTTCTGGAATTCCCAATATGCATATACTTTCTGAATCCTAAGTGCAGTTGCTAAAATTTTTAAATCTAATATTTTAATCTAACATTTTTAGAATCAATTTTTCTTTTTAACAGTGTTCCTTTAGTAATTTAATTATTGAATTTCCTGGGTTTGATATATTAAGTGTTCTATGAGATGCCATATGCTTTTTTTTGAAAGCCGTCTTATGAATTGAAGTAGCTGAGTTTCTGGACATTAGTTGTATTTGCTAAAGTATCTGTCACAAAATGTACCAAAACCTAGAGCAGTAGCTTTATGCTTATGAGTTTGTATTAATGTAATTTGTGCAATACTGAATGTATGTAGTGATTGAGTTGTCAATAAAAATGGCCTCTTTGTGATCATAAAATTGCCTTTTCTTTTTAAGGAAGAAGGAGTTTGGGAATAGTAGCTATTACAGCTACGTAGAAATAATTGCCATACTTTTCTACTTTCCCTGCTGCCAGAATTTTCTCCACCTGATTCTGTTGCATTCAGTTTTTCAGTTGCTCTTGACTCCAAAGTTCTCACCATATCCTTTCTTCAGCCTGTCTTTCTTCCTGCCTCACTTTAAGGATCATCCATTTCCTTTAAGCTGCTTCTCAAGCCTCCCACACGGATTTCTTCCTTACATTCTCATGTGTCATCATCCCCACCTGGAGTGCTTTTTCAACTCTGTCACCCAAGTTTTATGTTCACCTCCAAAAATGTTCTTAACAGTTCATTTGAGACACATTCATATGAGCACCTGCTCTCTCTTCGCCCTGAAGCTTCACAGATGACCAGAGACAGCCCCTGACCTCAAAGATCTTATTGTTGACAAATGAGACAGACACCAATAAAGAAAATATGGTAAGCGTTGCTAATAGCTAACATTTCTTGCAGACTTGCTACATGCCCAGAATTGTTCTAATTAACATAATCTTCACAACAACCCAGTGAAGTAGGTCTGACTACTGTCTTCTTCATAGTTGAGAAACTGAAGCTCAACATAGACAAAATAGTTGACTAAGGTAACTCGGCAAGTGGCCAGGTCAATGACAAACCATGCCTTTCGGCTCCAGCTCTGTGCTCCTAGCAGCTGGGCTACATTGCACGTCACAGTAAGAACCAAGATGGGGGTGCACTTTCTAAAGAGGCTTTTAGAAGATAAGACACATGAGTCAAGTCTTAAAAGACAACAGAGATTTGGGAAAGAGAAGGAACAAAACTAAGGAGGACTGGAAACAGGCAGCTGAGCATTCAGAAGAAGGAGAGGCACAGGAGGCAGCAAACGGGACAGAGGACAAGGCAGGCCTGGACATCGGGCTTTCTCTAGGGAATGTAGGTGTTGGGAGCCACTGAAGGTTTTTACAAGGGAGCCATCAAAACAAGTGCATTCAGAAGTGTCAGCCAGCCTGCCCTGGGGAGCGTGGGGAAGGCTGCAGGACCCCCAGTCGGACCCAAGGGAGGGACCCACGTGAAGAAGGCTTAGGTTAACTTGGCAGGACTCCCTTAAAGGGCCATGATTTTGTGGCTTTTTGGCTAATCACACCAGCAGTATTTGTACTGTTTGGATTTGGTGTGTCTCTTGCACAATATTGAAAGATTTCTTGACACGAGCTCTATCATTTTCTTCACTATTCATTTAACACCAGGTACGTCATATTTTGGCAAAATGATTCCTCCAGCCATTATCAGCCGCAGTGTGTTCTGTCTGTGTTCTAGCCACCCGAGTGCCACTCCAGACCTGGGGCGTCCCATGAGAGGTCACTTGGCAGCGCCCCTGTGTGGCACGTAGACCATGAGCTTTGTGGAGGGATCTTCAGGCAGAGCTGGGGCTGATGGATTGTCATGACTGGAAGCCCACGTTTCCATGTCAAGGTGCTCATTGGATGGCTCCGACCAGCGTGGCTAAAATGTCCTGTGAAGGGTTTCGGGAGGGGGTGCTGCACTGCCACAGAGCATGCCCCTGCCCTCCGTGTCGAGACCCGCAGAGTGATTTTTTTTCTCAGCAAGGAAAGGGCAGGGTGGGGTTGGAAAAATCCCCACAAGATCAGATGTTCCTAAGAATTCTAACACTTCCTAGGTTTCACTCAACAGGAAATACCTTTAAAAAACAGCCTTTCTTCTTTTGTTTTGGTACCTCAGAGATCAGAAAACGCAGAAGCCTGTGATGTTAAGCCCCGTGGCCCTTCCCACGCCATCTAACAACAGAAAGGGCCTGTGCATCCTGCAGAGCTCCTCCACTTCCGTGTGTGCCTCAGAGCAGACGTGACCTGGGCCAGAGAGATGGTATCAACCTGGAGTAAATACAAGTGCAGCTGGCCTGGCACAGAGCATGGGGCGCTGGCATGCAAAGGGGTAGCTTTGGGAGTGAGATACGCCTGGATTTGGACAGGTGGGTTTTGTCATCTTGTAGCCTGATGACCTGGCGCAGGTTGGGTAGCATCTCTGAGCCTTTTTCCCTTCTGTAGAACAATCTCAGAATTTGGGGAAACTGGATGAGCTACTCGCACAGAAACAGCATCCAGCTTAGCTACATCGTAGTCTACCCAGGGATTGTCAAAGCTAAAGTTTATGAAAATGAGAGTTTCCACACAATTAGGGAATTACTGTCTGATGTTAAAAGTCTGAGGGAAATCTGCTATATTTCTTTCAAATTACCATAGTCACTTGTTTGGGGGGGAAAAACACAACTACAAATAGAATCATACAGAGAAATTGTATTCTCTTTGCAGCTGATTAGAGAATTCTTGTGTAGAGAGAAAGAAACCTGCCCCACCTGAAGAGTAAGAGCTGAGTCCCCTATGCCCTGGGCGGCCACACCAGGCTTCAGAGAGAAAGGCAGGCTGGAGGTCCACAGCCCTTAACTTCCTTTGAGATGTGAAGCCCATGGTTGGGGGTGGAGGGCGGTGCAGTGGGAGAGGGTTGAGCCGCTGTGGGACGGATGAGGTCAATTTCGCCCCAGCTCTCCTACAAAGTCTCTGTTGAATGCAAGATTCTCCCTATTCTTACTAATGATGACTTGGAATTCAACCTTCCCCAAGGCAAGGGCTCTCTCTACCAGTAAAGGTTCTCATCTTCAAACTCCTATTTTTTGGATAGCCTTAGGGGGTTGGTTACTTCATGGTTTCACCTTCATAAACAGGTAATTCCCAAACTGTTTGCTCTAAAGCACCTACTTTAAGGTGTCAATAAGTCACCGGGGATCTCCTTACAACGGACCTGATTCCAGAGGTCGGGGCAGCCCATGCTGTGGCTCTGCAGACCACGTGAGGACAAAGGTTGTAAATACTCATCCCTGGGGGAACCTGACAGCAGGAAGTGATGACCTGTGCCCTCATTTGCTTTTGCTGAACATCCTGATGGCCTATGATCAGCCTGAAACACCCCTGTTGCCCTGAGGGGACAGAACCCAGAGGGGTGGAGGGCGGGACAGTTCACCGGGCAGCTGCAGCGCTCAGTGCTGAGTTCCGTTAGGGACTCTGACAAGCTAAACATACCTCAGGACTCCCAGCCCCCTCTCCATGCAGCCGCTTCCCTGGGCGGGTGCGCAGCTCAGCCACCAGTCCTTCAGCCAGCGGAACCAGGCGACGTAGGGGGTCCGGTCATTTTTATCCTGATGCTTCTGAGCCAGAGACTTCTCACATTGAAAGACCAAGTTTGACTTCTCCAGGAGGCAAAAGGCAGGGAAAAGTCTTGTATGGCTCTTCCTCTGAACAGCCACCTAGCGTGGCACAGGGCCCTGCCTTTCTCAGGAGGTACGTTTTGTGATAAAATACACATAGCATAAAATTCACCGTTTTAACGATGTCTCAGTGTACCGTTCAGCAGCAGTAAGTACATTCACATTGTTGCGCAACGATCACCACCATCCGTCTCCAGAACTTTTTCATCTCCCCCAATGGAAACTCCGTCCCCATTATACCAGAACCCTTCATTCCTCCCAGCCCCTGGCAAACACCCTCCTATGTCCTGTCTCTGTGAGTTTGTCTACTCTAGGTACCTCACAGACCCCAAATCGTACACTTGTCCTTTTGTGTCTAGTGAGGAGATATATTTTTAATCTCCTTTATCAGCATGAGATGTGGCCTAAATCCTGACCGGGTATCCCTGTTGTTCTTTAAGCCATGCTGATGGGACCCTCACTTATTCAGCAATGAAACTGTCATTTCATGATGTGTCTGCTGATGGAGTTTCATGAACAATCGGAGGGGATTTTAAGAAAAGCATCAAAAGAGGGTGCTCTCCATGGACCTCGATGAATGAAACTCTTCATGAGGGCTTGAGGGCAGAAACGTCATTAAGGATAACAAAGGAAGTTCAATATGGAGGACGTCTCCCACCCTTGCCAGAGAATTAAGTCAAGCAGGCTAACGTGGGGATGCAACAGACCTTTTCTTCTTCATTTCTTATTGAATAATTTCCAAAAGTCCATCCATTCATTCATTCCATCAATCAACAAAAATGTATTCCATGCCTACCCTGTGCTAGGATGTTTTGAGGCCCTGAGGATTCCAGATTTGACAAAACTTCTAAGGTCCCTAGATCTTACATATACAGTTGACTAAAAATGAGTGCCACGTGTTGGGGAAAGGTTGGTGTTTGTCCCCTAGAAAGCAAAGGCAGGCTGCGGGCAGCCACTACCACGAGGTGGCGGTGCCCCACCTCCAGGGCACGCAGTGGAAAAGGACGGCTCATTTGGTATTTGAGAGGAGGTTTATGCGGATGAGACAGATTTCGGCGTGCGTACCAACTTGAGAATCTGTAGTTCTTTGAAATTTCACTTCATCAGATAAGTTTTTCAGGGTAGAGAAAGATTGCATTTATTAAACACAAAACAAATTAGTCTTCGGTCAACTTGCAGGGGAGAAAACCCAGACCGTTTTAGGAAATTATGCTTCTTTACTCTCGATATAACCAATTTCTTTACATCTTAAACTCAAAAATATATCAAAAGTTTAGATATTTTTCCTCCTCTTACAGGAAAACAACAAACATAATATCAAGTCTGTATTACAAAAAATTACAGAAGCTTAGGCACCGAAGGGATCCACTGAAGCCACTTTAAGCCTCCACCTGTCTCACGCACACTGTCTGCAGTCGTTCACGTTTACTAGGAACAACACCAAAACGCTGCCTCTGGGTGACGTAATAGAAAATATATATACTGGTCTCTGAATCACACACACACACACACACACACACACACACACACACACACACACACACACACCCCCGTCAGCCTGAATTATAACACTGGCTCCCTTGGGTCTCCAGCTTGTGATCGTGGGACTTCCTGCCCTCTGTAATTTCATGAGCCAATTCCGCATAATAAATTCGTATATGTTATACATGTAACATGTAATTAATATAATTATATGAGGT